TGCTTACCTTTATTGATTGCTAACAGACAGAAAACAATAAAGAAGTCTGTCGTTTTTATAGTTTGGGAATTTACCTTTATTTGTAATAGAGGATAACCCTCTTCTAATATGTATTCAACTTTCGGAAAAAAATGAAACAAAACAAAAAAAAAGCAAACTAACAACAACAAAATAATAATAATAATAATAATAATAATAATAATAATAATAATAATAATAATAATAAACCCCGAGTGCTCCTGCAGTAATAAATAGTGTCTGCCTTGGGGATAAATCCTTTCCCAGGTAACTTTCCAATCGAGGAAAGCATTTTTCTTCTATTGAAGGAGTCTAGTATAACAAACTATGACCTTCATGGCTATTCTACTTATATCCTCAGTCTCTCCTAGTTCTTTTATTTACCAATAAATATAAACATTGAAAACATTTTCTTTTGTCATTTGTGATTTCAGTAACTTTTATGATATATGTCTAAACATGATCATACATATTTTGTCATATATTTTCTTCCAACAATTCTAATTTTTAAAAAATTCTACAACTAAATCCATATTGCATTTTGAGTTTGATTTCTTGAAATAAGAATTTTACATTTTAAAGTTTTTGTGTGCATAAAATGTTTAAGAAAAGGAAGGCAACCTAAATAAGAAAAGTGAAAATTTGCTTTTTTTGGCACAGGCATTTCTTATTACCACTTTCAATTACATGAAACAGAAGATCTACTAGGACTCTATATGCCTGATAATTTAGCTGCTTTCTGATTTATACAGTGGAATTTTGTGTAACTTCAATCAGCATATATAAATAATTTCCACAGTTCTTAATAAAAAAATTATATCAACTTCTGTAACAAATCATCAATTTGTGGTGGGGTGGGGGGAGGCAAGATTATAGCTACTCCATGGTGTTCATTGACTTTGGGACAGAATAGCCAACAATTTAACATAAATTTCTGGAAATGAGAAATGAAAGTGGATACTGTTGAAATCCTAATTATTGTAGAGATCTGAATGACTGGGTGTGAGTGCAATGCCAAACACCTTCTAGACTGTCCCAAGATTGATGCAGGTAAATGTGACTATGTAAAAGCAGAGAGTAAAATCCAGTAAACCCTTTCAAAGTTCCTGAAATTTTAATACATTTTCCAAGACAGCCACAAATCCATCAATAAAGAAATATTGGAAGTCCTTCTGGCTAGTGTATTTAAGGACACTCTCATTGGCTGATCACTAAGCTATACTGACCAATGGGGGATAGATACTTGTGAATTTAGACAATAGAATATAACTAATCATAATCATAATAAGAACAACCAGGTTTTATCAGTAGTTTCACAACCAAAATAAAACAGATCCCACAAAATTAGTCCAGGCAAGACATGAAATAAACAAAGGACAACAACCACCATTCCTACATGTACCAGAATCTGGAGTTGCTATAGTATGTCAGACAAATTGTCCAGTTTTAAACAGAATTTATTAGATGTAGAAAAACAAGAAAATATGACCTGAAATACACAGAAACAAAATTAATATCAACAATAGCAAGTTGCTGCTTACGAGCCCTGCACAATGAGGAATATTAAATAGTCTTTGCGTTGAAAGGGAGTGACACCATATGTGAAGTCAAAATTACACAAAACAGAAAGCTTTTGTGGTGGTAATTATACCAGTAAGAAATAGTGTTTAAATACTTGTTGTATTTTCCCTTTTAAATAATTTAAAGTAGTAATTTAAAAATAACAATTATAAATGTGATTTTGTATATAATACAACAGATTCTGAAAAAATTTAAAATTACTATAAAAATAATCCGAACAATTTTAGAGGAAGCAATTAACTTAGACAAATAAACTACTAGAATGACATTAAATCCCAAATGACATGCTATAATATGAAATAAAAATATCTACGGAGATTTTTAATAAGTAAATGAATTAATAAAAAACAAATCATTACACAAAAAGCCAAGTACTAGAAGGTTTCACTAATATTGTATTTATCTTCTTACTTCCAGGTTTTTGTATCATCAATTTCAATGGTTTCATAACTGCATTACAGTTATAGGTAATAGTTGGGTTCATTCTGACATTATCCTACTTGCATGGATTCATTTTGGTCCATTTCAGTCCCCAGTGTCTCCTCTTTCCCTCCCCTCCTCCTTTCTGTATTTGGCTTCCTCTATTCTACTGTTCTTCCTTCAATATATTTTTAATATATATAAAATTGGAAACTTATAAAAAGAAAGATAACCAAAACTACATATTGTTTTTATAAAGTTTAATAATATATATGTTAATATATAGTAGATGATTAAGAAGATAAAACGAGATAAATTACAAATAGTAAAAAAGAGAAACAAAGAAATTTCAAGTTAGAACTCATAGATATTATTGAAGTGCTAATTAAAACACTCCTAATAAATTTCTAAATATGCCAATTAGATTTTAAAAACTCCTTAAAATCTATAAAATATCGGTATTTCTCAGGATGAAAGAGGTAATTTGTAGAGTCTACCTAAATAGCAGGAAAATTAATCTTTTATTTAAAAGTCCCAAGTATCATATGGAAGTGGTGTATATAATACTTCAAGATGACCTAATGGCACAAGCAATTCACATGAAAAAAAAAGTTCAAATTATCAAGGTCTTTTCTCCTCTTACATCATTTTCTCTCTAATTCAATATTAATGACCTCATAGAAGTTCACTTAGCAAAGAAAGTATGGATCTATATACCTGGGTTCTATGTGACATTCAGGTATTACCCCAAAGCTAATTTCTGTAACTCTGTAGCTACTTTCTGGGACATGCATCAAGGAGATTGGTGAGGGGGAAGAACTCTGAGCAGTACTTCTGGTTGTTAATTTAGGTTGGAAGGAAAAATGACCAGATGTGTGATTGTGTACCCATCCATTGGTTAAAGGTAATGGTTTGAGAGAACAGTGAGGGATTTGAAAGAAACAAAATTGAGAAATAATCATTAAGAGATTTTTAGAAAAATACATAAATAGACTTCTTCAAATGATCCCCCAAAAGTGAAGATATTTGTTAACAACGTGAATATTTATCAAAGGTTTTCCTCAGCTGAGGAGTTTTAGGATAATTACATGGGTAGGGAAACCCATTCTGTGGTTACCACCCAGCCTCTTTCCCTAGTTACCATTAGCATTGTCCAGTGGGTTGCTGTGCCAAGTGACCACACAGACACAGGGAGAGACTATTCATGGACACAGCAGCATGAACTTCCAATCATTATCTTCAGTTTGATTAGAGCTGCTGATGAATATACAATTTTTCAGGAGAAGAGATTAACCCTATATTCCAGGTATGACATCATTTCCTAGACTGGACTTCTAACTCTTTAGTGGCAGACTAATATACACTGGACCCAATTCATCATGGAAAGAGCACCAATCTGTTATTACTAGTATAGACATTGTTTCTTCCAAAACTCTCTTCTCTTGATCAATATTTTTACTCTATATTTCACAGGAAGTCCAGTGAGGAAAAAAGACTCTTCAATTTCTGTTGGACCCCATTCTAAATGCAATAGCTTGTGGTTTGTCCAATTTCTGCCTCAAAATTATTTTTCCAAAATTATTCTTAGTATATTTTTTTTCTTTCATCATTCTTCTATTACCAATCATTTATTTTAGATGTTGGTAACTTCTGATAGAGGCTTTATCTGAGGTTATTAGTGATTTATTCATGCTTTTCTTTTATTTCAGCTGGGATATAAGTCTTATTTGGGTATGTCATTTGGGTTGTTAACACACATTCCGGATATCTTCTGGTAGACAGAGAGTAGTACCACATTTTCTCTCCACTTTGTGTTAGATATCTCCTTTTAAATGTGATAAGAACTCATATTATTAACTTGAAGACAAATTCTTTTAAGAACAAGTGCAAACATTACAATGTTCTTGTTTAAACATAAATTCTTTTAACAGGTAACAGTTTTTCAGAAATATGTTACATTTGTATACAGTAGTAATAATAAGTTTACTTACATCAATATGTATGAGACAATAGCTCACACAAAAACATAGATTTTCCTTATCCACAATAAGGAAAGATTTGTCATTTGCTTTCAGCATTACATAATTAACACAAATTACTTAACCAACTCCAAACTATCAGTTAAATAAAAGAAACATAAGAGAAAATTTTGAGATAGCTACAATGAACATTAGTTATATATTAATTCATAATTTTCAGTGTACAGAGTGAAAAGTATCTGTGATATATTGGTGATTTGATAGCAGATATGTGCTTTTATAAAATATCTTCTTTCTGAATTCTGCTATATAGTCTATCTCCCCAAGAAAATTTCTATTTTGAAAAAACAACTTGTCCATATTCAATAAAAAAACTTGTTATTCACAGAAATCTTCCTTCTTCTAGTTTTCCATATTAGTTGTGTATATTTTATTATATTATTTAAAGTACAAAATTATTACCATAAAGGAATACTAACTTTTAAAGGGACATAAACCATGCATAATATTCACTAACATTATTCATGAAACTACATGCTCTTTTTTTCTAAGAACTGATTTCTCTAAAAAATCAGGCTAGGTTCAAAAATCTGTGTGTATATGTGTGTGTATGTGTGTGTCAGTTTTTATGTTCTTCGTTTAATGTCCATTTTCTACCTGTTTTGAAAAATGATTGTCATATAACTATGGATATGAATGACATGATTTTCAATATTTGTTGCAACAGAGACTGTAATATTATTAAGATGATTACAACCAGCTCTGTCAATAGTAATTTGACACTGCACACACATACAAAAATAAAGAATTTTCAATGAAATGATTTGCTATTTGGTGACACATGTATTACTCATATAACTTGAGACAGAATAATCCCTCAACATAACAAATAAGATTTAATTTGGAAATAGTAACTACTGAAGAGATAGATAAGACACAAATCTAAATACACATACCACTTGAAATTTTATTACAGATGCAGAAAATAAAAAGTCCTGCAAATATAACTTACATTTATTCAAGTAGATTATTTCCCTAATAATTTTCTCAATGCCATTTTAACACCTTGTTCCTCAGGCTATATATCATGGGGTTGAACATGGGAGTCACAACAGTGTAGAAAAGAGAAAGCACTTTGTCAGTTTCTGCTGAATGACTAGCCTCAGGTCTTAAATATGTAATAATAGCTGATCCAAAGAATAACACCACCACTGTAAGATGAGATGAGCAGGTGGAGAAGGCTTTGGCTCTGCTTGTGGCTGATGGCAATTTAAGGACTGTGGAGATGATTTTGATATAGGAGATGAGTATTAAGAGAAATGGGTCGGAGACAAATAGCACAGCAGCCACATAGACCATCAGCTCAATTGTGAAGGTTTCCCCACAGGCCAGCTTAAGTATTGGGGAGATGTCACAGAAGAAGTGGTTGATTACATTGGAAGCACAATATGGCAGGGAGAAAACCTGGAAGGTCTGACCTACCTGCACAGGAATTCCACTGATCCAGGAGGCAGCCACCAGCAGGATACAGACCTTGTGGTTCATGACCAGAGGATACTGCAGAGGGTTACAAATGGCCACATAGCGGTCATAGGCCATCACTGCCAGAAGGAAACATTCTGTGGCCCCCAGTACAAGAATGAAGCACATTTGTGTAGCACAGGCAACCAAAGAGATGGTCCTTCTCTGGGTCCCAAGATTCACGAGCATTCTGGGGAGAGTAACTGAAACATAACAGATCTCCAAAAAGGAAAAATTGCCAAGGAAAAAATACATAGGCATCTGGAGAGCAGGCTCTACTTTTGTTATTACCAAAATGGTTCCATTGCCCAGCAGGGTGATCATGTAGATGACAAAGAACAGTCCAAACAGAAACCACTGGAGCTGGGGCACCTCAGCAAACCCCAAAAGGACAAATTCCATCCATGCAGTTAGGTTTCCTTCTGGGGGTTTTCCCTGGTGTTTCATCTGTGGAAAGCAAAAATGAACATGAGCTTCTCATATGGATGAACTGTTTAATAAGACATACATCTTCCCACTATGTTATAAACTTCATTTTTGAGTTTGTATACAAATTAAAGCTTGTCATCAGGATAAAAGAATCCATATTAACCTTTCTTGAATGGGTTGATTTTTCTTTCTTCCTGAAGAAGGCTTAACTATTTTGATATTTAAATTTTTCAAAGTGAGACCACTTATTATATTCCCTCTGCTTTTAAAATATTTGTTCTTTATAAAGTGTTCTTTAAATAAGTATCACCAGCTATGTCTACCCCCAAGGACTTCTTTCACCTACATATTTAAATTTCTAATTAAGAGCAGCTCTTAGGCATCTGCTTATTTGCTTTCTTTAATTTTTCCCAGGTAACTCCCACTGTTGCCAGAATACACTGTCTTCAGGCCCTCTATGGAATAGAGGGCACAGTACATTTTAGTTCTTAATATAAATTGGGCACTGAGCAATACCATCTTTACACATCCTAGATTGATAGATATCTGTTTATTAATTCTCCGATGAAGGGCTATTTCTCTCTCTCTCTCTCTCTCTCTCTCTCTCTCTCTCTCTCTCTCTATCTCTCTCTCTCTCTCCCCCATCCCTCTCTCTTTCAGTGTGTGTAGGGGTATATGTGTGTATGTTGTGCGTGTAGTCCTGGGGATTGAAGCCAGAGCCTCAAGCATGCTAGGCGAGCCCTCCAAAACTGGGCTAGATCTCCAGCTATAAGTGGTATTTTAAATACCAAGGAAAAGCCTAACATAGAAATAACAAAATGAACTGAACAAATTAAATTCACAGAAAGGTTGGGAAACTCATTCTTTTTCACAAAGGGACAGATATCTAACCTCATTCATAAAAGAAGAATTTCAAGGATGTAGTTGAAAAAAAATCTTAGAAATTCTACTCTATATTCTATCCATGGATAGAAATTTGGCATAATTGACAGATACAAGTGCCTTTACTTTCTGAATAAATCAATAAATGGTACATGTGTATGAATTTATGCAGTAATAGGATATTGCAACATTGATCATAGTTGCAGAGAGCAAACTAGTGTGAGTCATCATTTTGGATGTCTCTCTGACTTAGCCTTAATTTTTATATTGTAATTTATTATTTTCTCTTCCACAGCAAATGGATGCCTCTAATTATGAGTGTGATAAATTATTCAGAATTTTTTTTTGTACTGAGAATTTAACTCAGGGTACTTAAGCAGTGAACCACATCCCCAGACCTTTTATTTAAGTTTTCTCTAAGTTGCTTAGGGTCTGCTGAGTTGCTGGGGCTTGCTTTGAACTTGTGATTCTCCTGTTTTCTCCTTCTGAGTTGCTGGGATTACAGATGTGCCCCACCATGCCCAGCTATATTCAGAGATTTTACAGCTTTCTGCAGGAATTCTGGGTTATTGTGACCCTGTATCTTTCAATTAAAAGTAGAAGCTAATTATTAAATGATGAAACATTTAAATGTTTTAATTACTTCCTTTTCAGAAAGGAGGAAGAAAATGTTGAGCAAAATCACCTGTCTTGGAACATATTTTTGGGGAAGCAAATGATAACTCATATTTTGAATTTGCTCCTAGCAAAAACATATTGTTTTTCTTTTCATCATCATAATAATAATTTGTTCATTAAACAAAATATAAAATAGTATGAAAAGTAGAAATATATGTATATGTAGAAATATGTAGATATGCATATATTCTTATATATATGCCTATATTCATATATATGATAGACATTTCTACATATTCTTTTAAACTCACTTAAAATAGTACATTCTTAGTATAGGATTTTTTTTTCTCAGAAAGCTTCATTCATTTTTGTTCCTAGGTTTGTCAGTTTTCATCACCTCTCATTTTTCCATTTGTGAAATTATCACAATTGCTTCAAATTCTGATTTGATAAATATTTACAGCTATGAATCATATTAAGATGAACATTCTTGGGGGTAACTCTTGGTTTGCAGGTATGCATGCATCTGCTGGATAAACACAGGTAGATAGAATCTCTAGGCGAAGGCAGTCTATTTGCTGAATAGGATTAACATTTCATATGCCAGAGATGGGGGTGGGGAGTTGCCATTGCTCCAATTCTTTTATGCACTCATGCATGTAGTGTGCTGTGCTTCCTGTTACAAACTAGATGCACTGATAGTTGTGTCATGCATCTCACTGGAGTTTGATTTCTTTTTGCTTATTACTGCCAGATTTCTGTTCTCACGACTAAAAGGCTCAGGGATTACTCCAGTTGAACTGAGCTAACTGGGCTGTGCAAAATAACCCACAAGAGACACTTTGGGGTCCTGTGATGGCTTCTCTGACCTTAAGGATCCACAGGAAGAGAGAGAGTGCTCATGTGCTGACCCCTTTTATTGAGGAGAAGCTATTCAAATGAGGCAAGGGGTCAGGTTTCAGGGGGCTGAGTCTATCTTCATGATGTCCACTGTCAGCAGGTTGACTGATACCTGGGTAGGCCACAACCAAGGGCACAGTAAGAGAAGGTGACACACACACAAGGCACTTCCATGGAAGATTCTATACTAAACAGGGCAAGAGGTTATATTACAAAGGAACAGGTGAGCATAGCTTCACCCATGGGGCTTTAGCAAGACACACCCATGCACAGACATCGACCCTTGGACCCAAGAAGGGTGGGGAAAGTTCTGCCACATTTCTGTGACTGAGGGCCTCAGCACCCAGCCTGGGAATGTGACTCAGTCAAGTGAAAGGTGGGTCTCCCACATATTATGGATTATTACTATTTTTCCCCCTGGGCATTTGTGAAGTGCTCCTTTGTCCTTTCTCCTTGAAATTTCTTCTCAAACTTTCTCTCTCTCTCTCTCTCTCTCTCTCTCTCTCTCTCTATATATATATATATATATATATATATATAATATATATATATATATATATATATATATATATATATATATATTTCTTTTTAACTTCTTTGGAGGAAGAGCACATTTTATTCTTGTTTTTTGCCTACATACTCATTATGCAGACTAATGGGTCTTATTCTGGCTTATTTATTTATTTATGTTGGTAGTGGGGATTGAACTCAGGGACACTCAACCACTGAGCCACATCCCCAGCCCTATTTTATATTTTATTTAGAGACAGGGTCTCACTGAATTGCTTAGTGCCTTGCTAAGTTGCTGAGTCTGGCTTTAAACTCAGGATCCTCCTGTCTCAGCCTCCTGTGCTACTGGGATTACAGGAATGTGCCACCGCGCCAGGCCTGGTATATTTTTTTATATGCATTTAACTCAGTCAATTATACCCCACAACAACAATTTTTAATTACTGCAGTTTAATTTATCAATTTTTTCCACAATGGTTAATGGCTTTGTTAATAGACTTTTTTCAAAATAAAACCATGAAGATAATATAAATTACTTTTGAAATTACTTCATGTTTTATTACATATTTAGGATATAAAGTATTTGAAACCATTTTATTTTGTAAACATTATGGAGTAAATATTAAGGAATTTCTTTTTTATATATTAAAATTCAATTAAATAGCAAGACTTATTAAAGTCTGTCATTATTCAAATCTGTCCATGTATTGAGATCTCTATGTGTAATTGTCCACTTAGATTGTATACTTTGTCAGTTTCTGCAGCATTAAAATAGGTCCTGATTTTGGCTACACTGATCCCCCTCACTTTACTATTATTCAACATTATCTGGGTGATTATTGATCATCTTCTTCTCCAAAACAATTTTCAAGTCAGTCTGATATGTTAGACAACACCCAATACATACACACACACATATGATTTTATTCTATTTCATTGAATTTGTGGCTCACACTGGGAGAAAATATCTTTTCCGATACTGAATTTTCTGTTACAACAATGTATCACCAACATAATCTTTACTTCCTCTAATTTTCTTAAATGATTTTATAGTTCACTGGATTAAATTGCTGAAATATTTTATGTGAATTTTCACAACTACTTGCTATTTTTTATTTTGTTTTACATATTATAGTAGTCCCTCAGTATCTGTGATAGACCGCTTCCAAGACACGATTGGACACTAAAATCAGTAGATGTTCAAGTTCCTTTGGTAAAATGACATTGGATGTACAAAAACACTGTAATATCACCTCTAGATTATTTATAATAGCAAAGTAATATATTATAAATGTACTTGTATAGTTTTTATACAATATTTTTAGGGAATAATGTTAAGAAATATATCTGTATACATTCAGTACAGATGGCATTTTTTGTCTTTCAAAATTTTTAAACCTCAGTTTTATAGAGATATAAAATTCATATATATGAAGGGCTAATTGCATTTAATATCATATTGCCTTCTTTTACATGGAAATAAATTGATTTTGCTATTGATTTTATTGAAATGACTCTATGTTTCTTAATGGAATTTGCTGTATACTGCCATAAATCTTTCTACAGTGACTTCCTCTCAAATTCAGTAATGTTCCGATACTAGTCAAAAAAAAAAAAAAAAAAAAAAACAGAACTGTTACTAAAAGATTTTGAAGATAAATCACTTTGTGAATGGAATAAATTACTAAGGAATGGTAATTTACATGTTTGAAAATTATTTTAGGTCTATTACTATTAATATGAAAATCAGTTCCAGGAAATCATACATTTGAGAAAAAAAAATAGAAGTATAGTCACTTTGTGACTAAACAAATACTTTAATTCCTGAGGTCATATTTTATCATCTCTGATTTCCTAGTATTGACAGTTCTGGTTTTGTGGCCTCTCAACACAACTTGTCACAGTTTACTTAGCTCTATGGCTCAAAGCAAGTCTCCATCAAATTTCACTGATTCCATTTAAAAATATCTACTTACTGTTTTATTTTGTATATTTTTATCATTTTCTCCTGATTTTTGTATTTGTGAACATTATAACTCTACAAAGTTCTGTTCTAAGATGGTTTGTCCTTCCTCCTATACATTCAATTTTATTTGTTCAATCAATCA